ATAAACAGAATTCAGTTGTCACAACGTCGGTTATTCACAATTTAACAAAGAAGTAATCTTAATGTATGCATAATTATCAAAACAAATAAATTTCTTACATTTGTATATAATTATAAAATTAGCCGTAAGTATTTAACAAAGAAAAACCGTGTTCGTTGTTCGCAACAATTATTTCTTACTGAGCAACTAACGATGTTGAATGAGAGGCTGAAAGAACCACTACAGTTATCTACATGTGTGTCGTAAGGTTTATCTCATCTTTCATCTTAGAACACGAGCGTTATGTATCAATGATTACTATATTCTCACTTTTTCAGATATTAAAATTTCGTGTTCCATATAATACTGCTAAATGTATATTATGTTAAACGTTTAAGATTTTGCGATGATGAAGGAAAGATGTTTTGAAAAATGAAAAAACTAAAATAAATCGACCTTATTTAAGTGAGTTTGTCAGTTTTCTATTCGGCGAAGACACGAAGTGTTTCGTCATAAATTAACACACTTTTAAATAAGTAGCTTCAGTTCAGTTTTTTCTTTCTTTCGTTTCAGTTCGTTTATTTTTTGTTCTCAACATCATTATCTTAAAAACAATTAACACGCTTTAAAATATGACAGAATTAACAAGCTCTTTTGTTTCATCTTACAAGTTAGTGACAAGTGTCTAAGGGACAGTTGAATCGAACTTTGGTAATTTCTTAGTATTGCAAGTAATTTTAATACTAAATACATACTGTGCAAGAAAAATTATACGTTAACAAATAAATATAGATAATATATAAATATACAAAAATATATACAGAAAGTATACTGCACTTTGTGTATATAAGCTATTTTGTAGCTAGAAGTGACGTTTTTAATTTCTTATCCTTATTTTTCTTCTGAATTAAGTCGGTTAGACTTTTATAATTACTTTTATCATAAACAAAAAGGCATTTAACAAATTACTGGAACTACGCCATCAGATTTCAATGAGAAAGGTCATTCGAAAATAATAAACACTGATAACAGGATACGAGTAAAATGATACTAAAAAAGTATATAACAATTTTATTATATAATATTTGCGTATTAAAATGTAATAATCTTATTAAACATAAGAAATGAATTTGTAAAAACAAAATTAATTAGTAAAAACTATTTTAGTATGCGTAATTCGTGTTTTTAAGCGAATACTTTATAGTCCTAGTTAAAACAAAGTGTTCGGCTGACTAATTAGTTGGTTATTTTACTGACCTAAAGTCGTCTTCGGATGCGTTATATTACAATAAACTAAGATCTTACAGTTCATTTTTTTATTTTACTTCATTATATTTCAAGCTAAGGAAACTTAAATAGCACACAAATATAATTATAGCTAAATAAAATCAAATTTTAAGGTAAGCAAGGAGAATAAATTGGCATCATTCGTCCTCACTGAATTATGTGATGAGTTGTTACAGAAGCAGAAAACAACGTTCACGCATTGACAGGGAAAACAGCTGAAAATGAAAGGAGGTTTCATAAAAAGAATTTAATTCTAACGTATTTGCAAAACCGGTTACATATCGAAAATGTTGACGCACACGTGTTCATAATAACATTAAATAAACCAGAACTTATTACTGAGACGTAATACCGCACGTTAAAGCTTGGCTAAGATTAGGAAATTATTTGGCCGATAACTGAAAGTATGGTCTTAAAACAAGAAAAGAGATGTCACTACATGTAAATACGTTACCGTTTAATTAAATTTTCTGGTTTTGTGAAGAATTTATTTTTAAAAATACTGAAATAAACATATTTTATACAATTAAACTATTTTTTNCAAATCTGATTCCGATACTTTCTTTTGTTATGTAAGCCTATACATAACAGACGTGAAAGTAAAATTCGAATTTTCAATCAAAACGGTGTCTATTGTTTTTTATTTTTTCATTGATAAAACATGCATATTCCATTTTTTGTGTAAATACAAGGTGAAAAACAAAGGAACATTTTATTTTTTTAAAATTAAACTTTTCGCCAGAGATTTTTAAACTCGACTCGACCTCCTGATTTCATTCATTAATGTGCGGTAAGTTAGTAGTTTGTTTAAAAAATGAAACAGGCTGTAATAAAGTTTTTTACAAAAGTAATATATTTATTTATATACAAAAATATAACAAAAACACAGTTATTCATTAGAAAAGTTTTAACGTTAAAATTGTATGTTAATGTTAACACTTTAACATTGAAACTTCAGAATCACCGCACTAATGGCTTTTAAAACTTTTAAAGTGTTTTAAACGTCCACGTTATGTAAAAAGTCGGGAGTCGATAAGTTTTCGACTATCGACTTCGACTTACGACTCCCATAAAAATATTTAAATCCTCGATTCCCTAATCCTGACTCCGACTCCGACTTTGCATTTTTAAATATTTGAGCTTTCGGAGAATATTCTATTTCACGTTCATTCTGTGGAAAGAGATCACTTACAGAATATTTTATATTACAATCATCAAAATATTTTAAAATAAAAATCATATTAAAAACGAATTCAACTGTTAAATGTAAAATATATCTGAAGATTCATAAACCACTAACCTATGTTAATCCAGGATTGGCTAATTTTACACATATCACACCTTGCGGGTCAAGTAATAAAAAATTGTTAGTCATCGAGTGAAAAGGTACTTGCTTTATTAATTAATAACGAGATTGCATTTGATACACATCTTTGGAAAATCTGAACGGACCGATGAGGGACTTCCATTCAGAATTTCCAAGGATGTGTACATAACTTCATAATTGTGAGTCCAACGGAGTTTTTCTGAAGGACCGATAAGGAAATCTGAGTCCGAAATTGTATGTGGTGGTAGCCCCAAGTCTCCATTCGTGCATAGGGGTGGTTGCGTCTCGATAGCTATAAGGGCGCGGGAGATATGAGGCTGAAAGTGGTTGAAAATGGCTTTCTATTTCGAATGTTTTGTTCGAATTTGTTCGAATTTAATTCGAATTAAATTCGAACATAAAATTCGAATATTGGTTCGCTTATAGAACGATTGTAAACGTTCCAGAAACGTTGAAAATAGTTCGTTTGACTAAACGTAAAAATTCTCTAAATAGTCTGGAAACGGGGGACCTGATTCTTGCATTCTGTGAAAACGGGTAAGATTAGCTATAATGTAATTATCTTAATCTTCGCTATCGTTACTTTTTCCCAGCGAAGCGGGTCCTTGCAGCTAGTAAAATAAATAAAATTTACAAAAAGTATTATATACATGCATTATTTACGAAGACAAAAAATAAGCAAATGATTTTCAAAAACATTAACTTATTAGTAAACAAAAGAAACAATTTTTATATATAGCCTACATGAAACACAATGCAAGGTTTACAAGTAAATCACTGCAGAATAAAAGCATTTTCTTGTAAGACTATTATGCAAACAAAATAAACAAATATTTAACTAAAATATGACGAATTATCAATACAACTTTCATAATCATCAAACAATCATACTTGTCCACTAAAACAATCGAGTAGAATATTCGAATCAACTTAACATTAATAATTTAATTTATATTGTCTACAAAAAGCAAAAAAATTTCGCTCTCTAATTACATTATTTTAGTGTTAATTCTCGAATTTTAAGCTATTTTCGGTAAATTATGTCGGAATAAAAATCGATTAACGCAGTCATATTTCAGTAAAATAACATTTATACATAGAGAAACTTTAAGACAATGTTAAAAATTTTGCGACGGATATTAACTGATGTAACATAGAATAGACCCGGAGATTTAGAAAAAAAGTCCAGCAACGAGTTGTGTAACTTTCTCGACTGTTAAACGATTTTATTTACATAATAACTTTTATATTATTAATTGTAACGAATAAACTCGCCTTTCCAATCTCTTATAAAATTTTATTACAACAAGTTTTTATGTTTTTAATTATTAAAAAATTTTAAAAAGCTTAACGCTTCCAGCCGTGTCAGAATTTTAATTTACTGTACTTCAATATAAGTATAATGGCTGTTATAGTCTGCGTAATAGAAGAAAAAAAGTGTGGCTAACGATTATATAATGACTCTTAAGAATTTTACATTTTTAAATACGAGAAATTAAAAAAAACTCGGGATTTTTTCTCTGTATGTATGGACGTTAGTGTGGAAGGGTACGATTTTGTTCACCATATTTGAAGCTTAAAAACTGCGCTTATAATGAAAAATTTCTGAAATTTTGCAGGCATGTCTCCGTATCAGGGGTATCGATGCTGTTAAATTTTTGTGGTTAAAGGTCGACGATATGGAGATAAAAGGGATCGCGCGTCGTATCTGGAATAGGGTCGGACTTAGGGTCGACTTTACTAGCTACAGTATTAGCATTTACAAATTATATTTATTTATTTTTTTTGTTTTTATAAAACTCATCAAANGCTTTTTAGATATAAGTTACCATGTGGAATTTCATTTCTTAATCATTACTATATGCAAAATATTAAACGACATATACGCCAACACACACATCCACACTGTACAGTACATACATTTCGTGGAATCTACCCGTTTATTTAACTCTTTTGGTCTAAGGGGTTTCGAAACTGTAGATTTGCAAAATACTCGGAATGTCAAATCTGATTCCGATACTTTCTTTTGTTATGTAAGCCTATACATAACAGACGTGAAAGTAAAATTCGAATTTTCAATCAAAACGGTGTCTATTGTTTTTTATTTTTTCATTGATAAAACATGCATATTCCATTTTTTGTGTAAATACAAGGTGAAAAACAAAGGAACATTTTATTTTTTTAAAATTAAACTTTTCGCCAGAGATTTTTAAACTCGACTCGACCTCCTGATTTCATTCATTAATGTGCGGTAAGTTAGTAGTTTGTTTAAAAAATGAAACAGGCTGTAATAAAGTTTTTTACAAAAGTAATATATTTATTTATATACAAAAATATAACAAAAACACAGTTATTCATTAGAAAAGTTTTAACGTTAAAATTGTATGTTAATGTTAACACTTTAACATTGAAACTTCAGAATCACCGCACTAATGGCTTTTAAAACTTTTAAAGTGTTTTAAACGTCCACGTTATGTAAAAAGTCGGGAGTCGATAAGTTTTCGACTATCGACTTCGACTTACGACTCCCATAAAAATATTTAAATCCTCGATTCCCTAATCCTGACTCCGACTCCGACTTTGCATTTTTAAATATTTGAGCTTTCGGAGAATATTCTATTTCACGTTCATTCTGTGGAAAGAGATCACTTACAGAATATTTTATATTACAATCATCAAAATATTTTAAAATAAAAATCATATTAAAAACGAATTCAACTGTTAAATGTAAAATATATCTGAAGATTCATAAACCACTAACCTATGTTAATCCAGGATTGGCTAATTTTACACATATCACACCTTGCGGGTCAAGTAATAAAAAATTGTTAGTCATCGAGTGAAAAGGTACTTGCTTTATTAATTAATAACGAGATTGCATTTGATACACATCTTTGGAAAATCTGAACGGACCGATGAGGGACTTCCATTCAGAATTTCCAAGGATGTGTACATAACTTCATAATTGTGAGTCCAACGGAGTTTTTCAAAAGGACCGATAAGGAAATCTGAGTCCGAAACACGTTTCCTATATTCATAAAAACAATACCTTTACGTTTCATCTTCGACTCCTTTTCCTCGCTTAACTTACAAGATTTGATACGTCTGTAAAATTAGCCAATAAAAGATTACGTTAAGAAGAATTACTCCATACAAAAAACAAGAATCATTACAAATTGTTATTAATTCGTCTACTTAATCCTGTGGATTAGCTTTATACTTTTCTACATGATTAGAAATAGAAGAGTTTGAATTTTTCCATTTGGATTTAAAATAGAAACATTTTTGAAAAATCTTGTCAATCATCGAAATAATTATTGGAACAAATGTAAGTCCGTGAATTCCAGCGATTATACAGGCTAAAACAATCACTTTTATCGTTAACAATGTTTCTTTTTCCGAAACGTTCAACACCGTTACAATGGCAAGAATGGTAGTGACGCTTCCTTGTATGATGGGAATCGCCGTCAAATTTATTGCATTCTGCAATCGTTTGTCCGGACTATTTGATTTCGCGGATATGTACGCGCAGGAAACGTGTGCTGCGTAATCTACAGAATATCCGATGACAACAATTAGAATAGATAAGGAAATGATATTAAGTCCAAGATTAAAAAGAAACATGAAACCCATTACACCCGCTCCTACAGATATTATGCTGAATAACACGCACACGATGCAAATGACGTTTGGTAACAATACGGCAGATATTATAGAAACGGTTATGGACACAATGCCTAAAGTCTGAAATGTTGTCTTAGGTATGGCGTCATTAATATCGAAATAGTAAAACAATGGATGATACAGGACAATGGTGAATGGGAAAGCGTTCATCTTTTCTTGAAAGTGTTTAAATTGATTGTAGAAATGACTTCCGTTGTTTGTAATGTTCGTTTGAAGTAAGAAACGAGTAGACGTGATTTTGGTGAAGGAAGCATCGAAAACGACGTCTTGTCTGAATCTTTTCGCTTCTGGAATACGAAAGAATAATTTACGCAAAATGAAAATGAAATCGTCCGAGTTTGTAAGATTATATTCATTGATAAAGGAATTAATTCTGTTGTCTGACGTAAACTGTAGGTAGCTTCTTAACCAGGATTCGGTCAAAGATCCAACGATCAGAGGATCCGATTCGAGAGTTTGTAGCATATTTTCAACATTTCGTTGTACAGTACGATTTGAATAATCTAGTTCCTGTATAATGAACAATTGTAACCTGTACTTGTATTGGTTGTAATACTTTTCATTTGTTTCGTAATAATTATATCGATATGTACCGTGAACCAAATTCATGTCCAATTCCTGTCCATAGGAATACTTCGTTAATCCCCAAAATGAAATTCCCAAATAAGCAAAGTACAGTAGTAAGATAATGGTTGCTGTTATTTTCTTTCTCATCAGTTCGTTGAAATTCTTGGAAAGTTTAGTAAAATTGACTACTTTTTTGTTAACGTTCTCGTTCTTCAAATCCTCCGAACGCACAAAACAGAAGATTCTTTGAAGAAAGTTTTTATTTTCTGAAAAAAAAAGAAAAATATAAGTGTTCAATATATAGGCCTACTTACAAATCGAAAATTAGGGAATTTAGAGTAATTTATTAATTGTCATATTTTTAAAAATCATCATATTATTACTTTATACAAAATATAGCTATTATTAATTGTATCCAAATTGAAGCAGAGAGAGTTTGGAGATGAAACATTTGTCTGTTCCCAACCTTTGCAGGAGATTTGAAAGTATCCCTCAGAAATAGTTATTTACTTATGTATTTTGTTACTGTTAATATAAGTGCAAACAATACGAGCAATTTTATTAGTTGGCATTGTTTTAACTACTGCGAAACATTTTGGAGACAAACGTTTGACTCGTTAATAAAATTTGTTTTTCTTCCGTACTGTAAGAAAGCTTAGTTTCAATATTTTATGCGAAAAAGGAGCTTTAATTAAGCTCTTTTTTGTGGAGTTGATTAGCAATGGGAATTTTTATGGGCCACAGTTGGGAATGGATAACGCAAAAAACTACGTAGTTATAGTTACTTTTATATATGGTTATAGTTAATTTTAAATAAAACAATAGACACGAACTATCGACGATCCGTTAACCTCTTAACGCCCACCTGTTTTTAATTATAATGTAATTAAGCATAAAAAATACTTAAAACTGAAAAAAACAAAAGACATGCGTTAATATTGAAGAAAAAG